GTGACAGTGTGAATACAGGAAAGGTGTGAGTACAGGAGAGGTGATTGGCATGGCTACAGTGTAAATCCTGGAAGAGAGGTGTTATTGGTGGGGTGACAGTGTGAGTACAGAATGGGAGCAGTGATTAGCGGAGGATTAGTGGAGTGAAGGCATGAATACAGGAGGGGATAGGTGATAAGTGCTGGAATGGAGTATGTACAGGAGAATAAAGGTGGAGAAGCAGATTAGTGAGATGTCTGGATGAGTAGAGGGGAAGAGAAGTGATTACTGGGGTAATGGTGTGAACATCTCGGTCAGTTTTGCAAAACATAAATTGAGTGACATAATAGTGTGTAGTATCCTGATTTTTACAATCTGATTATGAAGTGTTTCTTTTTCAGTCTCATGCTTCTAAAAACCGTAATGTAATAACTCCTCAGGAAGTAGAAACTGCATATGTGTAAGAATAATCTGGGTGATGGTTTACATCGGCTTTCATTTGTCACACATCATTTTCTTTTGCTTAGACAAGTGCTATTCTGCACCAATATCCATGTTGGCATTCAAGTTCCCTTTTCTTTCACATTACGCAATCCCCAACACAGATGTGCAGAGTACATTTCACCTATAGGATTAGCGCACTCAGCAATAGTTGCTTGTTCTGAGATTTAAACTGACACTAAACTCAGGAGGTAAATCTTATAAATTCATTCAAGTACCTCAACTATTGACAAAACTATATCTTATGTGTGTATAACTCGGCTGTAGATCCTCAAATCATCTCTGACTTGGTGCTGACACTGTCCTTCCTTCTGGAGGGGGGCTACTTTTGTTCCCCATGGTCCCTGTGTGTGTGTTGTAAAGTAGTCACTGACATCCGGGTCAGAACTTCTTGTGTGTCTGCTGCACACTTCCATTGACTGATGGGTGGTGTGGTTCAATGCATTTTTTGCAGCAGTGCTCGGGAAGGGAAGGGTCTCCATTTTTCCATCGGACATTGTGCTGTTTCTTAGCCAGTTGCTCACTGCTTTCACATATCGGCAGATATCCCATCATATCCGAGCAAATGCCTTGACAGATGTTTCCAGAAAGCTTTTCACTGCTGTCTGCGCCTCCTGTTGGTTTCCTGAGAAGGAAGTCCTCATAGCAAAAAAATCATTCTAATTTGATACACACAGAGAATTTTCAGCATGTTGCAAATATTAATCAGCCAATAATAATCACTTTAGAAAGGACCTTTACCCGTATATTTAAAATGACAACAAAGACACTTTTAGAAATGTTTAGTAATGACAATCTCCAAACAGATATTTCTGCATACCTTATTTTATTTTTCCTCCCCATTCTCCTCATAGTGGCCATTTTTTACTAAGGGCAAATTAATCCATCTCCCTTTACTTCCTGGAACTCTGGCACATGTGACTAGGACATGTCACCATTCACATCATCTCAGCGGAGGAAAATGGCTTTCCCAGACATCTCATGAGATTTCCCAGCAATGCTTTGCTGATGTAACCTTCCCAGGATGCAACACTTGGGCACAGATTGGGCTGTGGAAAACCAATAATTGTAAATGAAATTAAAATATGTTTATTTAACGAATAAACATATTTTAATATCAGGTTGCAGAGCTGCGTGTTGCGGTGATTTCTTAGTGAGAGTGGGTAATGGTCCATTTAAGGTTTCAGGAGAGTTTTCTGCTCACAAAAATTTGATTTCCCAAAGCAACAGATATCCCACCAAATGCCTCCACTGTATTATGCCCTTTGACTGGTCCCACATAGGCTTCTATGGTTTTGCCTTTATTTTAATTTGCTTTGGCTTTTACCATGGAAGTATTTTACATCGTGCACCAGTACCAGGTATATGAATGATTGACGTTAATGTGAATGTATTATGACTTTGTACAGATTTTATTTATTTTCTATGGTATGAACTAGGGTTGCACAGATACCAAGTACAGTACTCGGTACAAGTACATGTACCGATACTTTTGAGCTCCAAGACTAGACTAGAGAGAAATTCAAAAGTTAGGAGGCAGCTGTCATTTGTAAGGAGCATAGAATGCTCCTGGGATTTGTACATCTCTGTTTTATTGTACGATTTTGTTTTTATAAATATAAATAAAGGGATGCACAGATACCAGTTTTGTGAGTACGAGTACTGGTACTTGCCGAGTACTTACAAGTACGAGTACTGATACATGTTTGTTTTATTGCCATGTGACAGTTTTTCTAAATCAATACAGACTAATGATTAAAGGACAGTGGTGGAGTGCCAGAGCCAGGTCCCAGCTGCAACCGCTGCAACCCTGGTAGTTCTCCGTTATCCGGCATCCACAGGGATCGGTAGATTGTGGATAAATGTAGTTTCTAGTTGCTTGAGAGTTACTATTAAAAATACTAGGGATGCACCGATACCGATACAAGCATCGGTATCGGCGGCAATACCGAGTATTTGCATGAGTACTCGTACTCGTGCAAATACTCCAATACAAAAAACGATAATTCTGCATACCTGGCTTTATATTATAAGAAAATGTAATAATAATATAAAGCCAGTTATACAGAATTGGATACAGCTGTGCCACACTATACAGTGTTCTGGACTCTGGACATGTGCTAATCTAATTATCACATGTCCAGACTCCAGAACAGTGTATTATTGTATAGTGTGGCACAGCTGTATCCAATTCTGCATACCTGGCTTTATATTATAAAGTTCTTATAATATAAAGCCTGGTATGCAGAATTGGATATAGCTGTGCCACACTACAGAGTGTTCATGTTCTTCATAATATTAAGAAACTGACCTAAAATCATGATTTTGTATAGCTTTAGAAAAAATGTGACCTGTCCCTTTTAAGAAAAAGTATCGGTGATTGGTATCGGCGAGTACTTGAAAAAAAGTATCGGTACTCGTACTCGGCCTTAAAAAAGTGGTATCGGTGCATCCCTAAAAAATACCCTATATTATACCATACCACAGGAGTGCCCATTAGGTCGATTGCGATCTACTTACTTGTCTGAGCTCCCTCCCGCGGTGCTCGTGTGGCTTAATGTGTCAGACGCTGCAGATGGGAAGGGGCGGGATACCTCTCCCAGTGTGCAGCGTCGGCCACACGAGCACCGCACGGAGGACAGGACATCGCACCTGAGGGGAGACCTGGGAAGCTGCTGCCGTGTAGGTAAAGAAAGAGAGAGACAGCAGAGAGAGCGAAGAGAGAGAAAGCACGAGAAGAGGGGAGAGAGGGCTGGTTCACACCACAAAGTCTGTGTTCCAGAGTGTTCGGCCTCTGCTAAAATAGTGCTTGCAACATTTTTCAAGCGCACTGGACAGGAACACAGGCACTAATGTGCCTGCGTTCTGGGTGTGGGCGATCGCACTGTGGGCGGGGGGACGTGGCTGCGGTGTCATTCAATGCACTGCCATGCCCCCTCCCACCCTGAACGCAGGGAGCTGGCCGGGAAGCAGGCCAGAACACACTGTTTGTAGTGTGGACTAGCCCTAACAAGCTTTAAACTTCAGCCTCAGTTTCATCGTTCTTGGTTTTAATTTTTTAATGCCGAATGCTCTGTGAACCGGTCCAGAGAGAGAGGCAGTATTCCCGGTAACTATTTTAATGTGCTTGTTTTCTAAATGCAGGGGTTTTTTCGCTGGTAGATCTCATTGAGCTGGTCATTTGAAAAGCGGATCCCCAGACAAAAAATTGTGGGCACCCCTGCCATACCATAACATAAATTCTGTATTGACTTGATATTAATATTGAAATGCAGTAATCAAAAGCAAATTAAGACAAATATCCAGGATTATACATGCCGCAGAACAGTGAGTACACGTGGTATTTTTTTTCTGGTTGGATGAGAGTTCTGGTTAGTTGAATACCAGATAACCGAGAGTTTACTGTATATTTATATACAACAGTTGCTACATGACACTTCTGTATATTATAAAGGACTCACATTGGGAGATGTATTTAGTCTTTAAATATTTATATTACATTAGAACATCAAGTAGACTTTTACCCAGCCAGCAGAATTCTCTAGGCTCCGTTTCACTTTTCCCTCTACCACATGATGGGAAAAAAACATGTTTACAGACAACAGCACAAAGAGAAATTCCCACAGACCTGAGTAAAGCACATTCAATTTTCATAAGGACTTCCATAAGAAGAATGAAGTCAGATTTGATAATACCATCAGAGACTTGACAAACGTCATTTAAAATTTTGTTTGATTTTAACATTCGATTTTGGAATGAATGGAGTTTCCTGAATGAAAACCACATTCACTGTTAGAATCTCGTTCCTTTGATCAAAAATGATCATCCTGCTCCTTTTTCTTTTTTCTTTTTTTTTTTGTCACTATGGTGAAGCGATTGTTTATTTATTAGGGATGCACCGATATATCGGCCGCTGAAACATATCGGCCGAAAATTGCACTTTTGGCTAAATGCCGAAAGTGCCATTTTCCTGCCAATACATTGGCACATCCGTGATTTCTTTCCTCCCCCGCTGGGCGCTGCTCTGTGTCCCAGCGGGGAGGAGAGAAAGTGACAGCCGGCCGAGCGCTGCGGGAGGAGAGCAATGTGAGCGGCCGGTGTCTCTCCTCCCACACCACCCAGCCTCCTATCACAGTCCGGCAGAGCGGTGTGTGGGCGGAGACAGCCCGCGCTGTGACAGGAGGCTGAGCTCTCCGCTCTACACTGCTCGCTCAGCCTCCTGTGACAGCCTGTCAGAGAGGAGAGCGGTACAAACACTCAGTGATCGCTGAGTGTGTGTACATAATTGAGGATATAGCATGTTGACTATATCCTCAATTATGAATGAATGGGAGTAATCTGCATCACCTCCATTCATTCATAATTGTAGTTATAGTAAACACACCATGTTCTCATGTTATCAATCAACAGTAATACTCATAGAGGATTCCTGTTCATTGATAACAGGGGATACAAAAAAAAGAGATTGAGTACTCTGTGTTCTCAATCTCTTTTTTTCTATTTTAAAAGGGAAATACCAGGGGTCTGTTTAGACCCCTAATATTCCCCCGAAGCCCCTAAAAGTAAAAAAATAAAAAATGAATTCATAAATAAAAATATATAAAAAAAGTTTATAAAAAAATAAAATATTTGAAAAATGTGAAAAAAATTAAAATAAAAACATTTTCGGTTTCGGCCTGACAATTTTTTTAAATTTCAGTTTCGTTTCGGTTTTGACATTTCTATTTCAGTGCACCTCTACTATTTATCCCCATTAACTATTGGAAAGTTAAACAAACATTCTGAAACCATTTCTTTTTCAAACAAAATTCTACAGGTGTATGGCCAGCTTGGCTCAGTCAGAGGTTTCAGTCAGAGTCATTCTTCCTGGAGTGATATGATGACTATTCTACTCATTAGCAAACCCATGGTGCTCTGAGAATCCTTTGTATTGTATTAAAAGAGAACTATGGCCAAACCCTTTTTTTGGCCGTAGTGCTCTTTAGGGTCGCATTTACTAATGTCCTCCTGTGACCCAAAACTCCGCATATAGTGGGCTATTGCGCTGCACCTGAAAAGGATCCCAACAATATTGTCAGGATCCACCCCACTACCTGATTGACAGCTGGCTCTGCCTCTCTAGAGCCAGAGCTAGCTGTGCCGCCCCCTTCCCTGTCTGTCCCTCCAGTGAGCGCTGGGGGATATCCCTGTGGGGAGCAGTAACTGACAGTCATCGCTCTCTGCATGGAGAAGACCATGAGCTGAGCGATCAGCGGTATGTGATCACTCAGTTCTCTATCTATAAAGCTGACATGTGACTGCTGCATTGTCACACGTCGGCTCTAACTATTGGGATTAGTGTATTTCACTCATCCTATAGTTCTCCCTTAAATGTTTATTTGTAATCAAGGAATGTGTGGTAAAAAACAGACTTGTAAACTTTATTGAAAACTCAAGAACAAAAGTGTGACAAAAGCAGCTCACCGGTTCTTGGAGGTGGTGGTGCATTTGTTTTCAGACTTTTTTCTTGTATTGTCACCTGGTTATCCTGCAAAGAACACACTTCCTGTCCTAGGGTGACAACACTCACTCACTGTTCTGTATGGAAGAGCAGCATTGTTACTACCCTAGGCTGATCTAGATGTAGACTACAGAGCACCTTCTTTTTATTATTTCTATAACCTAGGAGGGAGGTGTGCTGTAGTTTACAGAAGGGAACTGTGAAGGCCTGATAACACTGATAACAATGCCGAAAGAGCCATTTTCCTGCCGATACATCGGCGCATCCGTGATTTCTTTCCTCCCCGCTGGGCGCTGCTCTATGTCCCAGCCGGGAGGAGATAAACTGTGATAGCCAGGAGAGCGCAGTGAGCGGCCGGCGTCTCCTCCCAAGCCGCCTATTACAGTCCGGCAGAGCGGTGTGGGGGCGGAGACAGCCCGCGCTGTCACAGGAGGTTGGGCTTTCCTCCCGCACCGCTCGATCAGCCTCCTATGACAGCGTGTCAGAGAGAAGAGCAAGGTACACACACTCAGTGATCAGTGATCGCTGCGTGTTTGTACATAATTGAGGACATGGTATGTTAACTACAGGTGAAACTCGAATAATTAGAATATCGTGCAAAGTTCATTTATTTCACTAATGCAACTTAAAAGGTGAAACTAATATATGAGATAGACTCATTACATGCAAAGCAAGATAATTCAAGCCGTGATTTGTCATAATTGTGATGATTATGGCTTACAGCTCATGAAAACCCCAAGAACCCCAAATCCACAACCTCAAAAAAGTAGATTATTACATGCAATCAATAAAACAAGGATTGTACATAGAACAATATCGGACCTCTGAAAAGTACAAGCATGCATATGTACTCAGTACTTGGTTTGGGCCCCTTTTGCAGCACTTACTGCAATTACTTTTGCACAATATTCTAATCGAGTTTCACCTGTATATCCTCATTTATGAATGAATGGGAGATTGAGGACTTTGTGTTCTCAATCTCTTTTTCTATTTTAAAAGGGAAATATCAGGGGTCTTTCCCCCAGTGTCATGTAGCAACCCCCAATATTTCCCCAAAGCCCCTAAAAGTAATGTAAAAAATAAAAATCTTTAATAAAAAATGAATTAATAAATAAAAATAAATATAAAAAATGTAGAACTTTATAAAAAATAAATAAAATATTTGAAAAAATAAAAAACATTTTCGGTATCGGTTTCGGCCTGACAATTTTTTTTATTTCGGTTTCGTTTCGGTTTTAAAATTTCCATTTCGGTGCACCTCTAGTACAGTTGACTTACTTTTTTTCATTAAAAAAAAGGAATAACATACAATTTGAAGTTTCTTTTTTACTAATGTTCTTCCATTCGTAGGAAACATGGCTGCCACCAGGCTAAGGAACGACACATTCAATGACTACAGCTCCACGGACTCCAGCCCCGTCGAGGAAAACTCTCCAGCAACAAATAACTTTCCCTCTAGATCTGGGCACTATGAACGCCTTGGGGAGCACAGTAGCAGCAGCACAACGTGAGTATATGTTCAGTCACATATAATGTTACGGATTACATATAATGTTAGTGGTCATACTTGGGCTGATGATACAGCTGAACAAATAACAGGCTGTTTATATACGATAGGAGATTGGCACCACAAAAAATCAGGACATTTGGAATTTTGTACCTGACTTTCTATTGATCTCTGCTGAGAAAGGTGAATAAAGACAAACAACAGAATACATTCTACTTCATAGGCAGTAATGTGAAGTATGCCCACCATTCACTGTATAGTGCATGTACATACAGTATCAGTTCAAAGTAAAGGATCTCCATTTAGATGTCTAGCATAATGAGCTTGTTGAAACCCCATCCACCCCCAAATTGATATGCTTGCCTAACTGTAACTCCGGGGTCCTCAGCATTGTTTACATCCTTCCACCGACTTTTTGATTCAACGTCTGCACCTGTGTACTTCGGCCCTATAGGCTTCTTTGGGGCTGGTAGATGGATTGGAGCTGATCAATCTACCAGTCCCATAAAAATCTGGGCGGCAAACTACGCAGGGGTGGATTTGATGTCGACAGAGGAATATAAAAAATGCCACTTTGTGTTATCATGGTATAGCAATTTAGGGGGGAGGCCTACCTAATGTGGTGGTGGCTAAAAGGTAAGGAAACATTATGGGAAAATGTTCTTACCCTTTAAGGCAAAGAATAGTATGCGGAGTGCATTTATCCATGTCAGCCAATCAGATGCCATTTTTACTGCACTGACTTCAATAGATTGATTATCTGATTGGCTGATACAGGTTATTTTAAGCTCTGGGCAGCATCATCGCTCTTATTGTGATGCCATATTAAAAGGAGTTCCAGACATGCTTACTAAATAAACAGCTGGGACACATGCTGTATATGTTCTGTCTTGTATTTGAAAAAATGATAGCTGTATTCAGTCAGTCCTGCGGTCCAGGCACGCCTGCCGGAGAGCGTAGCTATGAGCTTGATTTTCTACACTGTAGTGAAGCAGCACAGCTTCCTTCAGTCTGCTGCTGGAAAGTAAAGGAGCTGAAACATTACTATTATTAGTATTCTACTCCTGTCCGCAAGCTCCTAGTGTTAGCTATACAGCACTGTGCTGTGCAGTAAAACATAATTGAAGTACTTTCCTCTTTTTCCAGTCTTACTTTGCAGGGAATTATGGGACGCTAGTATGACAAATCAACATACTTCTAGGAGCACTTTCTAAAATTACTTTACAAGCATTTAGCATTGAAAGTCAGAATGCCTGAATGCAAAGTTGTTCTGGGTTAGTAACCAACAACATAAACTTATGTACACGATGTGTTTTATATGTTATATATTTTCTTCTTTGACAGATGGTTTCAGACATTAATACATTTGCTCAAAGGAAATATTGGAACTGGACTGCTTGGGCTGCCATTGGCTGTGAAGAATGCCGGGATTGTGGTATGAAATGGAACTATACATGCGCACTTCAATATTATTTGACACAACCATAAATCTAAACCATTTCATGTTGTTTTCAGACCAGTGTAATGGCTTTAAAGCTCCACTCCAGGCAGCTTAAAGAAAATGACCTTTGCAGTGGGCAAACCCCTGCCCACCCTCACTTTAAGGGTTAAATGTTCATTAAGTCTAGGGGTAGAGGAATAAGCTATAATACTTAATTATTCCTCGCTTTGGTAGACTTCCTCTGCGCTGTGTGATGGGTCCCCTGAAGCCCCTTTTCTACGGTGCTCTGGGTACTGGTCGCATTTTGACGTAGTTGCGTTCATGGCAGGACAGTGCATTGTACATCTTGGTCATGTGCTATTCTTCATGGTAGGCATTGGTAAGGTCCTGAGGTATTAAAATGAGATGTGTTAGTGAATGTGTTTAATATGTTATTAAATAAAACTGATTATTTAGAGCTGAACATTTACATGTAACTTTCCTTCTATGAAAAGAGATTCTATTACTATTCCATTCTAATCTGATCATTTCAAATACTACATGGAAGGGTATTGTTTGTGTGTGTGTTTTTTTTTTTGTTTGTTTTTTTAAATTAACAATTTTTATTAAAGTTTTTATCCAAAGAGCAAAAGCATACATAGAGTAAAACTGGTAGGTGGCCAGACAAGTATAGGTTCTGAATACAATGGGTAAGTTATGTCAGTACATACATTGCTCTTCAGATTTTTATGGTTGAAAACCCTTATGCTTAAACAATTCCAATAAATATATAATGTTGATGATTCTTCTGCTGCAATTCACGCTTTAGGGAACCACATAAGGGTATTGTTTTAAATCCTGGACTTCAGCTTTTAGCAAATCATGCTATATTTTAAATGATCAGATTCGGAAGGAATAGTATCCTAGATAGGCAGAGCCAGCTGTCACTCACGCAGCTGGGCGGATCCAGACATAATTGTCGGGATCCGCTTCAGCGTCTCAGTATACCGCAAGCTGTAACTCGCGGTATTCTGAGCTTAGGGTGACGGGAGGACGCTAGTTTGTGTCCTCCCGTCACCCTTAGGAGAACTATGGGGAAAAGCCCTAACCCCATAGTTCTCCTTTTAAACAAGCTACCTGTCTAGTTTGTTGTATTGCAGGGTGCACATTGACTTGATTACTGGTTTCAGAGAAGCAGTCCAATAGTTTTACATTTAGCCACATATATTTTGCATGGTTTGCTTATAATGTGAAACTACATTTGAACTTGAGGAATGTAGCTTAGTTGTATGGTACCAGAATAGTAGGCTGCATGGAACATACTGTCCTCGGGGTGATGTCTTATGACAGGCAGTCTGTTGGCGTCTATTGGCTTCATTAAAGGGTTGTTTCACCTTGTATGCATTGATGAACCACCTTTGGCTTCCTAATATTGGAACCTGAATTTTAAGTTTTGACCTGCTTTGGCCATCGCTGTTTTCTTAAATTCAGCAGGGGGAATGAGACCATAAGGGCTAGCTTTGTTGGGAACATCGGCAGAGTGACCTCACCACTCTATTTCCTGAGAGACATGAGAAGTCTTTAGATGATTCCGAATCCACCTTGAACGGAAATCATTTATGAATGAATTTTAAAAGACATGATCAAGTCAGACATAGTATATCAGATGCAGCAACCTGTGAAATTCTTCCTATTTCCTTTCTGTTATTTTGGGTCCCTTTGTGGCTCTATTCCCTAACTACCTGTGGCTGCCAGCATCACTATTTTCTAAATAGCCCTAAATCTAAGCATACATGAAAGCCTGGGCAAAGTGTTCCCTGGAACCTAGCACCCCCTCTATAACTATCAGAGGGACAGGTTACACAGTACAGAATCAATTAGCAATCCCCTACAGCCTGCTCAGGAGCACTGTGAAGAGCCTGCTGAATCTGATAACAGTAGTTTCTATACAATGTATGTTATAGGTAATTTAAAGTGTATGTCCAGCTACAACTTTTTATTTGGCAAGATTAGAACTCCTGATTAATTTTTTTTCTTTGCTATCCAGTGCTCCATTTCAGATATTTCCCCTCACTTACTGTCATGGTGACATGGTGTCACCGAACAGGAAGTGAGGGAAAATATCCAGAGGACACAGACCAAAATAAAAAGCTGACAGAGGTTCTAGACTTCTTATACTATACTAAAAAAACAATGATATGTCTGTGTCCCTGTCTGATCTTGTCCGTCACTTACTGTCTGGTGAAACCTTGGTCACCATATGACAGTAAGGGGGGTGATTTATAAACCTTTCATATAGTGAACAACTATGAAAACGAGAATGCATTATGACCACTAGGAGGAGCCAGGGAGCCTGAGGAATTTCCTATTCTTCTTGGCTCCATCTAGTGGTCATAAAGCACTGCGAGTCTTGTTTGTATAGCTAAGTGAGGGGAAATCTCTCTAATGAAGCCTCAGACAGCAATATAAACCAACAGATATTCTAATACTTCACCACTCTATTAAAAACATATTTTTTAATCGTTTACCAGGTTTTCTTTGTTGACTTTAGGGGATGTGAGGCATTCTGGTCCACATGCTTCAGTTCTATTACTAGTGGACTGATAGCAGTATAGTGAGTCATTGGAGAAAATTGCCTCCATCCTATCGCTGTCTCTTCTTCTGTATTAGTGATATGCTTCCTTTGTGTTCGATTTATACTAATGCTGTTTTTATTACTCGATACTCTGTATAATCTCCCTCTTCATTATAGAGTGGCTTCTTGTTGTGTTGTCTGGAAAGGCAGAAAGCTTTGTTTGTGCATCGCTCTGCTCTGATGACAGATGATCAAGTCGTCTTTTTATGCTGCCACATCAAAAAGCTCTTTTCATGCGTCCATATGTAGCTAAGCAACAAGGCTCAAGAGCGACCCAGATAATTATGAATATGTTATTGTGTGGCAAAATAAGATGCCAAATCGCCACCCATGCTGCTGGGTTCTCTTCTGAAAAGTTTCTGGGCACTGACCCATGGTAGTCATCTGGTAATGAAATGACACATTGCTTGAGGTTTTTTTTTTTGAATGATCTTATTTCTTATAATAAAAAGCAAAGTTTGCTTCAAGTATATTTCAAATTTGAGAAAACCCCTCTATAGGCATGCACCGGTTTTTCGGAGTGCGAGTACTGATATTTATCTTTTGGTACTCGCCAGTACCGATACCGGTACTTCCGCTCACGTGGAGCTGGCTTCCTGGCTTGACATTACCCGCTGCCCGTCTTTTTGATTGCCCGGGAAGCCGGCTCCATGCTGTTTGGCCATCTCGATGCTGATTGACTGGGATGTCGGCTTCCCAGCCAATAAGCATGGAGCCAAACGGCATGGTCATTACCTTCCGTTCGGCTTCCTGATTGGCCCGGAAGCCATCTCTATGCTGTTTGGCCGACCCGATGCTGATTGGCTGGGAAGCCGCCTTCCTGGCCAATCAGGAAGCCACCAGGCTTCCTGATTGGACAGGAAGCAGGCTTCATGCTGTTTTGTTGGCTCGATGCTGATTGGCTGGGAAGCCGGGCAGTAAGTCATTAAGTCATTGTGTCACTGCAAACATATTCACCCTTTCAATTGTCCTGTCACCAGGACTGAGAGTAATGGGGAAATTACACATTTTGAGTTGCCAATGGAACAGGAATAGAAGGAAAATTATCTAAAGGAGGAGATTTATTGATGACAACTATGTAAGAAAGGTCTGTGAAGGATCACATTCATCCAGGTCAGGGTATATCAGTAAAAAATAAGTCAAGGCAACTGGACTTGCTGTATTTTTCTTGAAGACGTTTCACTGGACATCCGATCAGCTTTCTCAGTTCAGAATGACTTGTACAAATAATTATCTGGGAATAAATATGGTGAATGTTGCTCCAATCTGCATAATCTGTTAGTCACAAGCAGGTGTTGAATGCATTTGCATAATTGGAGCTAGGAGGTGGTTTTAACCTGCCCAGAGAGAGGTGTTAAAACAGCATTGTATGTGGCAGACAATAGATGCCTTAGGTTTTGGTATTGTTCTTTTGGCTACTGCGATTAAAGTACTTTGTGATCCACCTTTCTTTGTGGTGGATGCTGCCTTTTCCGCATCCCTTGCATCCCCCTACCTGTTTGTTGGGTTGTAAAATTTGTAAACGGCAACAAATTAAATCTGATTACAAAAAAAAAAAGATAAGCATGATGATATTGTATCTATAATGTTTTACTTTTTTTTTTTTTTTAACAGGTATTTTTTATATTAATGTTTCTTTTCCCTTTCTCCTAGCTTGGTCCTATCAGTCTGGTGGTTATGGGGATAATTGCTGTACACTGCATGGACCTTCTGGTAAAGTGTGCAAGTCACATCTGTCAGAGGTAAAACATAGCTATGTGCACTATATTCTGAGACTTGTAGCCTCCCCTCGCTGAACTGCCTTTATCCATCCCGGCATGGCTTTTATGAAATATGGAGGCTGCCATTGCTTACTATTATGACTTACTTGGAAAGTAGGAAAGTTACTATGTCAGCTGTATGTCTCTCATGACAGGTGCACTTTAACAGCATTCTGTGCTAACATTTGAGTTTAGTTCCAACTTATCTGAAATACATTTTGCATTCGCTCAAAGAACTCCAGGAAACTTTATTAACCCTTGCTACCTCCAGCCTGTATCCTCCTCCTCCTCCGCAGCATTGGAATTGTCCTCGGCCTCCTCCCAGCTATACACAGTGTATAGACGTTGATGATTTATGGGACCTTAAACTACTACAGAGGGGGGGGGGGGGGGGGGGAGAGACGCTAGAAGGACCAGTCTAAGAACAAGGTGGCTCGGAGCTCAATGCTGGGATGTATTTTTATTTTACATTTCTGTATTACTTTTTATAGCATTTAGATTGAAAGCTTGAACTCTTAAAACACATCCCAATGACATACCAGTATATTTTTAGAGGAAACCATATTGCTCAGAAAACACACAAGCATTCATAGAAGAATATACTAAATCATTAAGCCAATGTGCTTCACACTCACTTCACAAGCTAAAATGTGTAACTCCTATAGAGACGTGCCGTGAGCCTTCCACATCTTGGTGCTCAGCCAGCCGCTGGTGTGATTGTCCCCTCCTTCAGCTCCTGTCAGCAGACTTCTTCATAGACCTCTGTTGGTAACTTGCTCACGTACAAGCTAGCGACGTTAAAGCAGCTGCAGCAGGAATTGGAAAAGTGTTCATGTGGAACCAACGTAACCATGAAATGGGGACACCGTACTGGGAAAATGATATGCTTTTAGTCCTCTTTGTCATCTTTCCTTCTAATTGGGTAGCCTGGATTTCCGCTACAAAGGATCGCAGTTCAGGGGAAAAGTCACCTGTTATATGAGAGAGCTTCTAATTACACTCGCAACTCTATATAAAAGATGCCCGAAATGGACAGATGTGAAGATATCTGAATTTTATTTGTATATTGCATAGCCTATTGCTCTGTGCTGGCTGTCCTATTAATTAAAGAAGACTGCAGGTTGACAGCTGACGGTTTTCCTCTGTGGATTAGTGAAAGGAGAACTATGAGGTGAGTGAAAATCACTCATCCTCATAATCCGAGCCGACGTGTGACAATGAAACTGTCACACGCCAGCTCAATAGATCGGGAAGTGAGCGAACGCATAGCGTCGCTTGCTCAATTCTCGATCATCTGCCTGCAGAGAGCCGTGACTCACTCACGGCTCCCTGCAGGGATTCCCCCCTCCCCGCTCCGATCCTCCAGCGCTGACTGGAGGAACGGACAGGGGAGGGGGTGGGTACAGCTGGCTCTGCCTCTAGATAGGCAGAGCCAGCTGTCACGCCGCTGGGTAGATCTCGACAGTAATGTCGGGATCCCCCCCGGCTGTGGCGGTATCACTATAACGTGAGCTGTAGCTCGCGATATACTGAGCTTTGGAAAAAAAGCAAAACGTTTTCCTGGCACACTCGCAATCTAGCATGTAAAAAAACCTGTCTCACCACTAAGGTTAAAAACAGAGGTTTGGATACACGTCTTCTGCAGAAAATGTGAAAGCCGCACAGCCGTGCCAAGGCACCTCTTATAGTGTGGTCCTAAGTCTCCATCTTGAAGCACATGGGGCAGAAGATACAATTGGGTGCAGGTTTGTCAGGAGGAAGCCCAACCTCCCTTAAAGGCACAGGAACGCACAAGGGATCCCGCACATCCCAAAGGCAGCTGAGACCCCCCTCATGCATCACCGTACCAAATTAGTCATGCAAAACGCGCTATGCACTAATCACATTTTTACATTTTCTGCAGAAGACGTGTATCCAAACCTCTGTTTTTAACCTTAGTGGTGAGACAAGTTTTTTTACATGCTAGCTTGTGAGTGTGCCAGGAAACCTTTTTGCTGTTTTACTGTTTAAAGCCCATTCCGTGTGCACCTTACTGTAATACTGAGCTTTGGGTCGAGGGAGGACACTAGTATATGTCCTCCCGTGACAATTAAAAGAACTATGGGGAAAAACACTTACCCCATAGTTCTCTTTTAAGGAGGTCTGTGTGATGTCTGCACCCCCCTCCTTTTTACCCAAACCTGCATTCATTTTATGGTCTCCAACGCATTTTGCAGTCTGACCATACAATTGACTTACCAAAACTATGAACTATGAAGCACTACCTAAACTGTCTAGTCAATCTGTATCCAATCAGGCAGTCCCCGGCACTACATCATTGTTGGTAGATTGAGAGCAAATTGTACAGATTGTAACATGTGAGGTGAGCTTTATAGCTACAAATGTACCTGTGAGCACATACAGATTCCTGCATGTACCTATTGCATATTACATACACGTATAGTTATGTACATTCCAACTCCAGCTTCTGATGCCAGCTCCACTTCTTAACACCTCCTACACGCATTATTGGTCAGTGAGGTTGTCCATTGTAGTTATGGACCAACAGATGTGCTGGCCATACATTCCTGATAATTAAAGGAAAACTGCTGATTCAAGCACCACTTGCAATAATTAGATGGTTTCTTAACCCCAATGAGATGCTAACAAGCATCTTGGGACATCCAGTCCTTTATTTGCTCACAAAAGTATCACAGCTGGCCCCAGCAGTCAGGTGACCTATTGCAAGATGGGCGTATCTCTGGGTGGGAGACTCTGGGCATAAGCTTAGCTATAGACAAGATTTACAGAATAGAGCATCCCAGATTTTGAGGCTCTCAGGGCTCTGAACGTGTGTAAAAGTGTGTTTAAAAAACTGTCAGAATGTCTGATGGAAAAAATGTCTGATGGAACACCAGACCTCGTGATTACCAGCAACAGAAATTCCGTGTTGCGTAAGCAAAGTTAATACGCGTTGGACAGGATGTCAAGTTACAATTAGTTACATTCATTTTTAAAGCCAAGCAACATTAGCATAATTAATGAGACACATCCCAGTGATATCCCACACTGGGTAGGCACAGAAATACAATCATCCAATAAAATTTAGTTTTTTCACAGCAATGAAATAGTTAACTGTCTAAAACCGCTAAGTCACTCCAAAAATCTATGTAATTTAGTGCCTGTTTTTGCAAAGATATTGGTCAAGCTGAAAAGTCCATTCCAAGGAATTGTCTGGTACCGTGGTCTTTGTTGGAGAACTAAACCTGTCTAGTTTCTAACATCATACCACTTTAGGAAACGTGGCCACCCTGACGAGAGGCATCACGAGGCCTAGTAGCTGTGTATGTCACTAGTTAAAATTCTATTTTTTATCTTTTAGAGAAAACGGAGTCTTGAATATAAGATGGATCCTTAGCCTAACTACCTTTTCCACCTTAGAACCTCAAGGTTCCTGCCTTTTGGGCTTTTGCATAACCGTCCATTAATGTTAATAATTGTATTGCATTAGTTATTTTATGAAATGCCATGTATGTTTAGTGACTATTTAAAGGTTTTCAGTGAAAGTATATTTTGCTATAATTTTTCTCTTGCCTTTCCTACCTGTGCTAATATTTGCTTTTCTGCCCTAAAGGAACCAGCGACAATTTGTGGATTATGGAGATGCTGTGATGTATGGAATGGAGTATGCCCCCAACCATTGGCTAAGAACTAACTCCATTTGGGGAAGGTAGACTTTATCGTATTGAGAAAACAGATTGCCATCAGTTTTCAGCCACAGCAATCTGCCCCCTATTAGTGTTTCCATCATTTCCCAGTTTTAAATTGCCAGATTATACAAAACTGGCTTAGAATAGGATTGAGAATGCCTTTTGACTAATCTTGAAGTGGTTTCCATAATTTTCCACTCCTCTTGGAATCCAGTGGTCACTGGGATTTGCTAATTGACTGAATCTTTGAGTGGCAGATTGCTGAGGTCAGAAACTAAAGGAATGCTCCAAAGTTGCCATCACATTTGTATAGACAGCGCTCGCCTTGTAAGAGGATTTCCTGGAAACCCGGAGTCTCTGTTTGCATAGGAGCCCTAAATCTAATAACATGGTGGGGTCCCACACTCTTGTGGCTCACTTAGTTTCCTAGAGATGAATGCTGCAATTACAAGTTTCACTTGTTGGTATATAGCATTGCGCTATGACCATCAATGATACTGATTATGTATAGGGATGGCTTTGTTTTATTTGTCAGCAACAGTGGAGGTGGTCTCTAGGACTAGAAGTAATGGTAAATCCCATCAACAGGAACTTATGTCAACTAACATCCCCAGGAGTTAGTTGAGGAACTTGTAAGGTATATACAACATCAATAAACATGACATGAAACACAAATATATACTGTATGTCCCTAATACATTGTATTTGATATAACTTAATAGTGCCCCAACTAACTCCTGAGGAAGCAGGGCATACATCTGTGAAACATGTTGCGTCAACCCCAAGATCTTCACACTTTAGTACTGCTAACTAGGCAGCAGAGCTTGTACATATAACAACCATACATTGTTGCTCCCATGCACAGTCCATACAGATTCCCTTAAAATGTTTTTGGGCTGACTGTCTGCAGGCCGCCAATCATTTGTGTGACGGAGATGGTTTGCCGTTTTGGTCTGCTGAGCTACAGACCTGTCTTTGCAAATGGTGTGGCCTGAAAAAAAAACTGCAAATGTTTGATTGTAGGGTAACCTTTATTGCTCAAAAATCTCTATTTTGAATTGGTTAAAAACAAGACTGTCTGTGTTCTTATTCTATAATTTCTTCAGCGATTACCGGACTTGGTCACTACTATACCTGATTAACAAGTAGAAGGATAATCTGCAAATATGGGTGTGAAATTCAGTCTTAAAGCCCAACTACCAGTTAAACCCAACAGTCTCTCCTGGAGCCCTTCTGAATGCTCTCTCTAAAGCATCCAGGGGGCATGTTCCTGACACCTTGGGTTCATAGGAAGTGGTTTGAATGACACTAGGTGTCATTGAACCCACATCCCAGAAGAGGAGCAGTGATGGACCGCAGAGGAAGAAGCTTGGGGCAGTGCTAGAGCATAGAGAGGGTGAGTATGGCTTGGACCCATTTAAAACATAAAAACCAAGAACGATGAAACTGAGGCTGAAGTTTAAAGCTTGTTAGGGCTAGTTCACACCACAAACAGTGTGTTCCGGCCTGCTTCCCGCCCAGCTCCCTGAGTTCAGGGGAGGAAGGGGACATGGCGGTGCATTGAAGCCAATGGCACCGTAGCCACGTCCCCTGGTTACAGTGCGATTACCCGAACGCTTGGCAAATCAGTGCCTGCGTTTTGGTCCGGTGCAGTCACCAAAAATAGTGCATGCAGCATTTTTTGTGACTGGACCGGAACGCAGGCTTTGATGTGCCACGTGCTTGGGTGCTAACAATCGCACCGCAGCTGGGACACACACACACACACCGCCAAGCCCCCTCCCGCCCCTCAACGCAGCCGGCCGGGTTGTGATCCAGTGCATTCCGGCACCAAATCGGGCTGGAACGCACTATATGTGGTGTGGACTAGCCCTAAAAAACGAAAGTTAATAAAGTAGCCTACTTATAGTTAAATGCCTACTAAAATATAGTGGATTTAGTTGGAGTAATTTAAGAATTTCTCTAGAATTTCCCATCTCATTATATATTCTTGGATGTGTTATCCTGTTATTTCTCAGGGTATTAAGGTTTGAACATGTATTACAGACACAGATTTAACTGTTGTGATCAAATGAGATTAAACCAAGTCTTGTAAAGGAACAATAATGAGTATTTTTTAACAAAGGACCGGTAATTAGATCAGCATTAATCATAACAACTTGCATAAGACATTCTTCATTCTTTCAAGGAGAAGTGCAACTCTAAAATATTAAAATGAAAAACTATATTGGATGTAATGCCATCGCACATATTACCTATTAGCTGTTCATTCAGGATGGAACCGGAACTGGAAGTTCAGAGATTAGTTCTAAATAGATCTCTTCCCAAATCGTCTCTCCCTGACATTTTAGTCTAGTTTAGTTTTAGTTAGTCAACTAAAATGTCAATATATTTTCATTATAGTTTTAGTCATCAGAACTTTGTTTTTATTTAGTTTTAGTCACTGAAAAATATGGATGCACCGATACTATATTGGTGCTGAGTATTTGGGCGAGTACTTGTACTTGCCCAAATGCTCCGATGCCTAGCCCGATACTTTTGTTATAAGGAAGCCAGGCAGCGAGTCATTACCCGCTTTTTGGCTTCCTGATTGGCCGGGAAGCCGCCTCCATTCTTGCTCGTCACGTTATTACACGGCGCCTGGTTTCCTGATTGGCCAGAAAGCCGGCTCCATGCTTTCTCCTCACCTAGCGACAAGAAAGCTTGGGGACGGCTTCCCTGCTAACCGGGAAGCCGGGTGGCGAGTCTTTACACGCTTCCCGGCTAATCAGGAAGCAAGTGGCGAGTCATTACATGCCACCTGGTTTCCTTAATGGGACTTCCGGTAAAGGTATTCGGTATCGGCGAGTACCGGAAAAAATATTGGTACTCGTAATCGATACAGAAATACCTGTATCGGTGCATCCCTCCGGAAAAAGTGTTGATGAAAACTATGACAAATTATATTAGACGACGAAATGAACACTGCCACCAATTTTAATTTAGGATGGAGATAAACTGTTGCTAAAAAGTTAATTAATGCAAAATATGCCTAAATGAACAGTTCGGAATGAAATCATTGAATATCCATATTGCTGTAATCTGATTGGTTAATTCAGCGTTCTGCTTTCTCCTAGGAGAGTGGTTGGCTTCTTCCTTATTCTGACTCAGCTGGGTTTCTGCTGCGTTTACTTTGTGTTCCTGGCTGACAATGTTAAACAGGTATATATTAATAAAGGAGCTTTGTAGAATGCTGTAGCACAGTTATGTCCTATATCCCATATGGGCGTACTTATAAATCTATAAAGGCACCAGCAGCAATAAGAACCTGACTAAGGTTCTATCCCTTCCCCAGTGTGTACAAAACCTGAATTGACTTTAGATTTTTTTAGCCGGACTCCATGTAAACATATTAATAGTCAGTGAAAGCAGTGATACATTTATTAAAATGTGAACATTAATACATGTATTTTAAATGCAACTAGTGAAATTACATAAATTTGACTTGGTATCAGCCTCCTGTCATTGATTGTAGAGCTGTCAGCCTGTCAGCAGAATTGGAAAGGTCAGGGTCAGCATTAAAGGCCATTCATGTGCCCTGTATGTTAACAAGAAACATGGTAATTGGAGGAGAAAGCAGAGACATTATCAGTCCCTTGCTTTCCTTCATTGTCCAGACCAGACACAGGCTGGGGGGGAAAGGGGATGACTAGGATATATTACTTATCTGCAGTAGGGAAATGTCAAATCACCAGCCTGATTGCGCTGTCTTGTAGGGTTGTGTACATCTCAGAACAGGATGGACAGAAAGTCCTTTAAAAGTAAAACAGTATTTCAACTGTGTATCTAGTGCTTTGCCAAAGATATATTTTGCAAACCTTCACTTTTAATGCCTGTTTATCTTTCTAAGGCCTCGTGCACACAGTTGCTTGGGGGCTGTACACTTTAAAACCGGGTGTGTTTTCCTGACCTGGAGGCCACAGGTCCTGTGTACAACGTCCATAGACATCAATGTTTATACGCAGCTGTATGGCATGTATACGCTGGTACTTTTGTAAAGTCATGCATGTTTTTGATTATATGCCCTGCAAGGAGACTGTCTGTCTGCATTCAGGGCATATGATTGTACACATTTGCAAGTTTATGAAAGTACTGACATACAGCCATTGATGTCTGTGGTTGGCTGTATGTAACACCTGGGGCTTCCTGGGTGGGGAAATACGCTCAAATGTTAAATCTATGTCCCATGCACCCATGTGCATGAGGTCTAATAGCCCAATTGTTTTATTGTTAATGAAAATCAGTGAAATGTAACTGAAGTAACCTGAATGTTTTCGCAGTACCGTGTTTCCCCGAAAATAAGACACTGTCTTATATATTTTTTGGCTCAAAAAAACACACTAGGTCTTATTTTCAGGGTAGGTCTTATTTTTTTTTTAATGTACAACAATCCAAAGTTAATGCAAATCCAAATTAAATAATCCAAAATGGCAAAGTTAAGAATAGGGTGATCAGGGAAATCAGGGGTGCCGTACCTTTCAAAGAGCAATTTGGTAACCAATCGCGCTTTCACTAGTATTCCTCACAGGCGGAGTGAGTTTGGTATCACTCCGCCTGTGACAGGAGGAAGCATCGGCTTATGCGGCTCTGCTCCCTCCGGTGCCGCCTTGCTTCCTCTAGCGCTGGCTTCGTTGGCACCACTGATTCTCTCCTCCGGCTCTTCAAGTTCCCCCTTATGCAACCACCGGCCCTGGGAAAGGTCACAACTAGGTCTTATTTTCGGGGTAGGTCTTATATTTTAGCAAATGCCCAAAAATAGTACCAGGTCTTATTATCGGGGTAGGTCTTATTTTCGGGGAAACAGGGTATGTGTGATTCCGCCTTGAAGACTATAATCCTAGCATATGTCCATAGTGCCACCTACTGGGCTGAATTGATTATTGCATGCTCAAAATATAAATGGGGGTGTCTCCAACATACATAGTCAGCTTTTAATTTCTTTGGCCAGCTGATTTGAAAAATGTTCTGGAGGGCTTGGCAGCGAAAGGGTTAAAGGAAACCAATTGTATGTAATAGCTTCATATTAAACGTTATTTAAGAACTATTAGGATCCTGTTTAACCCTTTTAGAAAGTTGTGACACAATGCCCGTGCATTGTCTCCAGCTGTCTATTGGACCCTAGAGGGTCCTGATTTATCCACAAATATGCTTCCTCATGTGCCAGCCTCTAGGGAGTAAAGCTCGTATCCAGCTCCCGATGTCCTATTTGGTTTATGGCAGCTGCCTTGGACTCTTTAAGTTGTTCTCAATTTCTGTAGTAAGTGTGATATCCTTTTATATGAGATTTTACTATAATGCTATGCACTAGTGGGCCCCGGCTTGTTAAATATCTGACAAATGGTGATCAAAGGACATTGATAAAGTAAATAGCGGTATTGGTGAAAACCGGTCTGCAATTATACAGCATATTTAGAGAGATTCTTTTTCAGATGGACACGGGTGAATCACCTTCTAGCCTATGTAATCATATATACAGGCTTATGCCTATCTTTAGCATTGTATCTTTTGATTTTGAAGCCTGTGTTGTAGGCAGTTCTTGAAATGGAACTCAACCTCAGTTTTTCTCTCCAGAGCCCTAAGCTCTGATGCAAATGGTAAGCTAGACAGTTCCATGCATATTTCTCTAGGTAATGCCGACATGTAATTTAGAGCCTGAAGGTAAGGCTGGAATTCAGCTTTATATGTTTGAGAATGGAGCCTAATATATTCTACTTCTTCTTTTAGGTGGTAGAAGCTGCTAATGCCACTACGAATGACTGCAGTTCTAACGTGACAGTGGTACTGAGGGATAGCATGGACTCCAGACTGTACATCTTGTCCTTCCTGCCATTCCTCATCCTTTTAGTCTTCATCAAGAACCTGCGCTATTTGTCAATCTTCTCGCTGCTCGCAAACCTGGCCATGTTAGGGAGTGTTGTCATGATCTACCAATATATTGGAAGGGTAAGTAATCAAAATAAGGAAAAACAATGGGAAAATTGGGTATTGTCCACATCAGTCATCCCTGCTTTGTTGTAACCTGCCTAGACAAATGATTTTCTGGCAGCACCTCTGTTTCCTTTCTTTCCTTCCTACTTTTATTGATTTGGCCATTTCCTCTATTTCATAACTTTTGTAGCCATTGGCTTTAGGCTGTAAGTACAGTCTGTTATTTATATATGCACATCAATATAAAACCCCTGTATTACAGGAGGAGCAGAACAGTACAACAGTAGGACATTATTCCTGCAAACTGGTCCTCCTTTTCCTCCAAATGGAAATAAGCAACACCTGAAAGGATGCAGGGAACAGGGGGACCTCTAAGGCCCCATTTACACCTGAACATTATGTAGCTTCAATGACTAAGCACTACAACACTCATCAGGAGAAATCCCATTGTGTTGAGTATACCCCGGTTACACCTGAATGTTCTGTCGCTTGTAGCAAAGCACCTGCAGCTTGACAAAGTACATGGTGCAGAGTCGAGCCTCTTGGCCCCAATAGACTTCTATGGGCACTCCTGAAATACACGCAAAAATGTGCATAATCTGTTTTGCTGCTGCCCAGTAACTGGCTTTGCATTGGCTAAAAATAAAATAAGACACTCAAGCCTGAAAAGCTTGCAAAAATGCCTGTAAAAACACTAATAAAAGCCCAGAAATGAGCACCCAAAGATACTCAGCTGAAATGTGACCGTGGCCTCAGAGTACCAATGTATTCACACGTGCATTCACATGCACGCACACTACTCACCTTGATGTCTGGCTAGGATCGCACACAACTGTGTATCATGGCAATTGGGCTTTTTTCCAGCATAACATCAAAGTGAACCACAGTATTCAAGTTATAAGGAAACGTCATTGAGAATGTGTCTCCACTTCACACTATTCCTGTGATAATGCATTCAGCGATAATTCCAACTCAAGAAGGAAGAAATCAGAAGTGTACTTTAGTATAATGACTAAATATAAAATGTGAACAAATTGCTATACTATGATGTATGTACTGCATGGAATTTAGTAACAATGATGAGTGCCTAATAAACGTGCATAGGACAAGTGCTACTATAATGACATTTAAAAACATTTTTTTTATATACCAAATGTCATTATAGTAGCTACCGCTCCAAGCTAGCTCCCATGACAGACTACAAGCTCAAGTTTACTCATTTGTATTGCGATTGTAGTCCATATAAGATACATTTTGGTTAATAGTTCGGGTACTTAAATGTATTTTTCTGATTTAACTCCTGAGTTTAGCGTCACTTTAACTATGTATCACAGTCATTTGTTTCACACATTGTTAGTAGTCTCCACAGCATACATTGTAGCTCTTTGTCTTTATACATACTTGTTGCTAGTCCTTCCATACAGCAAGTGTGTGAAATGTGGCTGTTTATATCATAAATGCCCAACACTAGTTTTCATTCGACACGTCACCAACCTAAAGCCTTGTTCACACCAAGCGCGTTCCAGGAGCAGAGCAGAGCAGTTACAGACCGGAGCAAAACTGCGTCCAATGTATTCCAATGGTATTTTTAGCTCCAGTTCACATTGCAGCGTTCCGTTCCAGAGCAGGTAAAAAAAACTGCAGCAGGCCCTATTTTACCTGCTCTGGAACGCATGCATATGCATCAGAAGTGCATGCAAACGCCCTGGAACGCACTGAAAGCCCATGTTAAACTACATTTTTTTTTAACCAAAAACGGCCCGAAATGCGGCACAACCCACTGCACTGCGTGTGCAGAAACTCATGCAGATGTGCTCTGCATTTGGTGCGAACAAGGCCTTATTGAGGTAGTTTGTTTTTTCATATATTCATTACTAGTTGTTTTTTTTTTCCATATACACAACTTTAGAATCTTTTTGTTTTGCACATGTGTTGTTTAGCATACACTATGGTAATTTGTGCAATACACACTAATCCCTGATTTTTTTTTTTATATATACATCAGTCAGTTGCAGCCATCTGATTCCTGCACACCCGTCACTAGCTGTCTGTGTTATATTGTTGTAGTTTATTTCCCACATATTCATTCGTTATACACTACACTACATATACCGTGTTTCCCCGAAAATAAGACACTGTCTTATATATTTTTTGGCTCAAAAAAACACACTCTATCTTATTTTCGGGGTAGGTCTTACCATACCATAATACCGGTAAAAGACTTACAAGACAGGAGTGAGTGGCATAGTTGGGAATAGGGTGATCAGGGCAATCGGGTGCCGTACCTTTCAAAGAGCAATTTTGTAGCCAATCGCTGGCCAGAATGAGCGAAACGCATTTTCACTATCGATTCCTCACAGGCAGAGTGCATTTGGTATCACTATGCCTGTGACAGGAGGCGCGGCGCTATAGAGGAAACATCGGCTTATGCGGCTCTGCTCCCTCTGCTGCCGCCTTGCTTCCTCTAGCGCCGGCTTCATTGGCACCGCTGATTTCTCTCCCGCGGCTCTTTCCCCCTCCCCCCCCCCTTCCTCCCCCCCCCCCCC